GCTCTGGAATGAGAGGTCAGCCCCAGCTTCTGGAGTGCCAAGACAAGAAATGGGCCAGTACCCAGGCCAGGAGGAGAGACAGGGCAGGGAACCTGGAAGGGTGAATGAGGCTGGGGAGGTCAAGGCACAGTGGGTGCCGCTGGACTTACCTGGGACAGGTGCTGGCACCAGGATGCCTGAGGGTGTGCATCCCAGGGAAGCAAAGGGAGGTGAGCAAAATGCAGTGATCCTCTTTATCGCTTCTGATAGTTTTATTTTGAAGTCTATTTACTTAGATATTAGACTTGTAACTCCTGCATGTTTCTTAGTGTCATTTGCTTGGAATATTTTTTCCAGTCTTTCACCTTAAAGTAGTGCCTATCCTTGAAGGTGAGTTGGGTTTCTTGTAGGCAACAAAAAGATGGATTTTGTTTCTTAATCCATTCATCTAGCCTGTGTCTTTTGATTGGAGAATTCAGTCCATTGATGGTTATTATTGAAAGATGTGTATTGATTCCTGTCATTTCAATTTCTGTTTGCTTTCTTGGTTTAACTGTGTAATTCCACAGTCATAACTTCATTTACTGTCTTTCTGTTGCCCCTTGGGTGTAGTCGTTCCTTTCTTCAGCTTTTAGTATTGCTTCAAGAATTCTCTCAAGGACTGGTTTTCTGGACATGAATTCTTTCAGCCTATTTATGTTGTGGAAGATCTTTCTTTAACTTTTAAGTATAAGAGACATTTTTGCTGAGTAAATTATTCTGAGTTAGCATCTATGGCCATCTAGATCTGGGAATACTTTGGTCCAGGCTCTTTTGGCTTTCATAGCTTGCATTGAAAAGTCAGCGCAATTCTGATGGGTTTTTCTTTATATGTCACTAGTTTTTTTCTTTTGCAGCGTTCAGTATTCTCTCTTTGTTATGTATATTTAGTGTTCTTACTATGATGTGCCATGCAGAGTTTCTTTTCTGGTCCTATCTATTTGGTGTCCTATGTACTTCTTTTATATTTTTATGGACATGTCTTTCTTTAATTTTGGGAAATTTTCTTCCACAATCCTGTTGAAAATCTGATCCATACCATTAACCTGAAATTATTCTCCTTCCTCTATGCCTTTGATGCACACGTTTAGTCTTTGCCTGGTGTCCCACATTCCCTCCATATTCTATTCCTGTGTTTTCTTAAATTTTTCATAATCTTTTCTTGAGAAAGTTTATTGTGCAGTCTTCATATTCTATTTTCCATTTCATTCATTCTATTGGTGAGACTTTCTCCTGTCATTTCTAATTGGCTTACTGAGTGTTTCACTTCCTTCTCCATTTCAGCCTGAGTTTTCTTCAATATTTCTAACTCTTCTGTGAATTCAGTCAGAAGTTGATCCCTATCTTCTTTAAGTTCTTTGATTTGTGTGTTCTTTAAACTCACTAAATTCTTTGATCATGTTTATGATTGTTCTTTTGAATACTGCATCCTGGGTTATCTCTAGGGGGTTCTCCTTGTATAACTCCTATGTAGGACTGGTGTGTTTGGTGGGGGACATATTATTTTGGGTTTTTATATTATTATTTATTCTTTGTGATTTGATCATGTGGGGTTTTTAGTTGTTTCTGTTTCTTGTGTGACATTTAAGACTTCCTTTGTTGAGTTTAAGTTTGTTTCTTTTTGTATACTTGTTGTGCCTTTATTGTTTTCTTATTGGGTTTGAAAAGCTGGTTGGTCTAGGCTTCAGGTTTTATTTCGATTTTATATTGGAGGGGCCAGATGGCTCTAGTCCAGCTACTCAAGAATTCCCACAGAGTCCCAAGTCAGGTAAGACTCATGTTCTCAGACTTCTTCTTAAGGTCTTGGCCCTTTTAGTCACAGACACAGCACAATTTGGGACGGTTGCTATGTGGAAGTTGGATTTGGGTGATCTCAGTCAGCCTGCAAAGGTCTGGACCCCTACTAAAGTGCAGGGATACCTAACACTGCAGCAATGGGAGGGCCTGTAGGTGGTGCCAATGTTGGGGGATGGACCTGGCATGATTTGAAAAACTCACCATCATGCAGAGACCAGATTCAGGCACTTTCATGCTGCCTGGAAAGTTCTCTGCTCCTACCAAAGGGCAGAACATCTTAGCCCTGCAGCAGTGGAAGGGGCTGTAGATATTCTCAGTGTAGAATGATGGGCACTTCATGATTTGGAGAACTCACTACCATGTGGAGTTAAAAGTATAGTCCAGACACCTGGGGTGCTAAGAGAAAAAGCAGACCTGTTCCAGAGGCTAGGAGGAGAACAGGATATGGGGTCTGGGAGCTTATAGTTTCTCAGGTTGTGGGAGAGTCAAGGTGCAGTGGGTGGGACCAGACTTACCAGGGAAGAAGACTGGTCTCTGGAATCCAAGGCAAGTTGAGTGTGGGGACAGCCAGGATAGAAGGCTGGTCTCAGGTGTGCAAAGGCAAGTTGGAGGTGGGTACAGGCTGTGAATACTTTATGAAAACTAGACTGAAAAATTAAGCTGGTGTGAGTGTAGGCGATCATGACCCAGTGGGCACATCTGGGCTGAGAGGGTAGTTCAGAGATCTGGGGTGCTAATAGCAAAAGCAGGCCTGTGCCCAAGGCTCATGATTTTCATATAATAGTTTGATGGTATTTAGATTGCCTCCCCTATCAACACCTCCCTCCACTGCCCCCATACAATTAAACCTACTAATACTTATATAAATTTATAGTCTGTTTGTGTCCCTAAAAGTTCTTCAGCTTAGGTCTAGCCATTGGGTCCACCACAAATCCCGTCCTTGTAAGACCTTGTCTCTCCCTCTCCCACCAGCCATCGATTGCCAAAAGTTCCTTAGGTTGGTTTGGGATTTCTTAGCTACTTCTCTATGTCTAGGCTAGGATATTGTCTGGATTGAACTCATATAAGACTTGTGCATGCAGTCACCATTGTTGTGAGTTCATATGAATAACTGAGCAGATGTCTAGAAGGCTTTATTTCCTTGTGGTCATTCTCTCCCTTGGGCTCTTGCAATCTTTCTGTCTCCTCTTCTGCAATGGTCTCTGAGCCTTGTGAGGCAGAGGTTTGAAATAGCTGTCCTAGTCAGAGATAAGTACTATGGGGCCTCTTGTTCTCTGCACATTGACTAGTTGTGGGTTTCTGTGTTAATCACCATCTGCTACATAAGAAACTTCTCTGGTGAGATTTGAGAGATGCATTTATCCTATGCATAGAGGTTTCATTGAAGATGTATATTTAAGGTTAAGCATCCCATAGATACTTATTCTCTGTGTTTGACCAGTTTTCTTTTTTATAAGGCCTAGCAAGTCTCATCTGTGTTCCCCAAATGTTGTTAGGTACAGGTCCCAGGAGTCTGGTCAATCTACCAGACATCACGAGTAAAGAAAAATTGACTTTCCCACTCCCAGCAGCTTTAGAGCCTCAGCTAGGGCTGGGGCTTCTTGCCTACTTACCCCATCTATACTCGGTTTTTGTCTGACTCAGGCTTGCAATAGTCTGTGCGTGCTGACACACATACTTGCAGCTACTCTGTGGTGTCCAGACAACAGTTTCCTTGTCTTCATCTGCCACCTGTGACTTTTACAATCTTTCCACCCACTCTATCATAGTGATCCCTGAGCCTTGAGAGGAGAGAGTGTATTATAGGTGTCCCATTTAGGGCTGAGCACTCTGCAGTCTCTTATTCTCTGCGTATTGACCAGTCTTGGGCCTCTATGTTAATTTCTATCTGCAGCAGGAAGCTTGGTGGGAGTTAAGAGACACACTAATCAATAATGACAATTCATTAGGAGTCAGTTTAGTACTATATTGCTAGCATAACAATGGTAGTGGGTTCTCCCCAGGCTTGTGACTTGCCTAGCCACAGGTTCTTGGTCCTGATAACAGTCCATAAGACTGATGCTAATAGTTAAGAAAATGTCTGTGACCTTTCTTTGAAGTATGAGAAAATGAGAATAAACCCCAGAATTAGATTGCCTTCCATCTTGCACAGGGTCAACTATTGACACTGGGTGATGTGGGAGGTTGATGAAATTCAATTTTTAGTCTGCAAAACTGATATAAACAAACCATATGTATGCATATGTATTATATGTACATATGCACACATGTATAGGGCCAAGGCAACATATCAAGGAGAAGAAGGCATACTTAAAAACTGAACCTTGCCCCATGCTCTAGTTTCTTTACCTCATTTTGAAAAAATAAATCAGGGCATCCCATGTTACTTATTAATATTGGGCAAGGAAAAACACCTAGTAATGGTATTGTTATACTAAAGACTTCCAAGAGTTTTAAAAGACAAGAAAGGTTAAAATAACAATACAGACAACAGAATAAACAAAGAGTATAGGGAATTAAGTGATGAAATGATGCCAAAATTTTTGTAGAAAGAACACATGAGATATTGAAAAGATATTGGATATTGTTAAGTATTCATTTAAGATTGATCACATTTTAAAGGAAAACCATGGTCAAGGCAGAAATTCGGGCAAAATAATAAAATCCAGGAATAACTTAAGATATAAAGATATAGGGATCAGGTACAGCATTAAGTCTACACTATAATTTCCAGGATCACTTGGGCAAAGCTAAGAATATATAATCAGGCACCCCAACTTCTCAATTTCACCTATTTTTCTAAATATCCTTTGCTTTGTGTAATGAAAAAGTATGTTATATTCAAACAGAGGCATTTATTGTGAAGAAAAATTCTGGACTATTACAGTATTAATATCACATGTTTACTAGATAAAATTATATAAAAATCTGAAGTTTGGGGCTGGAGAGATGGCTCAGTGGTTAAGAGCACTGACTGCTCTTGCAGAGGACCTGGGTTCAATTCCCAGCACCCACATGGTGGCTACAAACCACCCTCAACTCCAGTTCCAAGAGAATCTGAAGCCCTCCTCTGACCTCTGTGGCATTGCATGACATGGGTGCACTCACATACATGCAGACAATACACTCACACATAAAATAAAAATAATAAACAAAATATTTTTAAAAAATATGAAGTGTTGTCATCATAAGAAGGAGGGAATTTGCTTTCTGTAAATGACTCTTTCTAGGGCTCCCTTCATGTCTCTGTTCCTCAGGCTGTAGATGAAGGGGTTCAGCATGGGAGTCACCACTGTGTACATCAAAGCCATGACAGTCTCTTTCACAGTAGAATTATTAGCTGATGGACATAAGTAGAGACCAATTACTGTCCCATAGAACAGTGACACCACAAACAGGTGGGAACCACATGTGGAGAAGGCTTTACGGATACCTCGAACAGAAGGGACCTTGAAGATGGAGGCAAAGATTCGTGTATAGGAAATAACGATAAGAAGGAATGGGAGGACAACTATGGGGCCTCCTAAGATGATTATTGCCAAGTTATTATCATGAGTGTTAGAGCAAGCCAGCTTCAGTAGAGTAGACATATCACAGAAAAAGTGAGGAATCACATTGTTTGCACAGAAGGACAATTTGGCCATGAGCAGAGTGTGCAACATGGCATGGACTGTGGTCAGAACCCAGGACAGCACCACTAGTCCCACACAGAGTTTGGGGTTCATGATGCTGGTGTAGTGCAGGGGTAAGCAGATAGCCACGTAGCGGTCATAGGCCATGGCCACAAGAAGGAAGTTCCCAAGGTCTCCAAAAAACAGAAAAAAGTATATTTGTGTCAGGCATTCTGCATAGGGGATGGATGGCACCTCATTCTGCATGTTCTGCAGCAATTTGGGCACCGTGACAGAGGAAAAGCAGAGGTCAGCAAAGGACAAGTTGCTGAGAAACAAATACATGGCTGTGTGGAGTTGGGAGTCCAGTCGAATAAGGACAATGATGAGAAGGTTCCCCAGGACGGTGGTGAGGTACATGGCCAGGAACAGGGCATAGAACAGGTGCTGGTGCTGTGGTGGGATGGGCAGGCCCAGGAGGAGGAACTCTGAGATGTGAGATTGGTTCCTTCTAGCCATTCTTTGAGTAAAATACCTTTAAGAAAAACAGTAGTCACTTAACATTCCAAATGATGATAAACAGATGATGTAACGGTTTTACTTTCTCCACAATAACTGATCCCACAATCATCACAGCAATTACACTATTAAGCTCAATTTGTCTATATCAATAGTTATTAGTAGCTTATTAAATTCTCTCTAATATATTTCCTAAATATTTTATCTCATTGCTTCTGACATGTAATTCATGGATTTTACTCTGACCTACCTGGCTGTTCATCCTAGACAAACTTAATTGGCTCCTGTTCCATCAATATC